CGAGCCACCAGCCAACACGAGCCAGCGGCTGCAGCGGGAAAGGAGGCGCTCAGGTCCCTGTTGCACCTGGACAGTGGCCCGGCCCAGGAAGGGCCACTCCTCACCTGAAGGACGGACCCCAGTGTCGCTGCGGCCCAGGAGAGACCAGCGAGAGGCTTCCAGCCCCGGCTCTGCAGGCGCGGGCTGCTCGGCAGCCCCCTGGGGACGGGCCGGGGGGGGGCCGGTCAGCTCTGCTGCTGCTGCTCTGCAGGTCGCATTTTAAACCACGGAGCGGAGAATAAATACGAGCCCGCAGAGTCCAGCCAGAACCTCTTAACCGCATCACAAAATCTGCTCCCTGGCCGCGTCTGACTGGCCTCTGACATCCAGGGACGGGTTCCCACATCCTCAGGGTCCCCTTTCAGTGCATTTAAGCCAACAGAGAACCCCAGGAGGGCTCCCATTTGGAATGCTTCACAGCGGAAATGCAAAATAAGCTGCTGCTTTACGTCACTTCAGAGCCGCATCTAAACCGATACTTCAGACCCCGACACTGCAGGCTGCGACCTGCGCCCAGATACCCTGATCCCCAGCCCAGGAATCCCCTTCTGGCCACCCTGTGGAGACGCACCGCATTACAGGGCAACTCCTCGCGTACTGTTGGCGCCTGAGAACGCGCGGCAGCTCCGTCTCTCCATCAGCGGCCTCTGTCGGGTTTATGGCCATTCCTCCCTCCACCTTCCATCCAGCCGCCAGGCAACTCTGCGCTCCGAGGCTCACGTTTTCAGCCGTGAGATTCGGGGACGCGTGTCAGGGCACAGTTCGCAACCACGCTGAGCCGGGAAGGCCAACTTCAGCGCTTCCACGCCCTTTAGCGCGCACCTCAAACACCCGCCGTAGGCGACTTTTACTTCCTAGCCATCATCTCAGGGGTGTTCAATGATGCTCGGAATTTCTTAGCGGGAAGAGTTTTCGTGGAGGAATGAAACACATGGATTAGTTCCAGCGTCAAACCCCATGCTGCACTGCTGGAAAGGGCCGGAATAAAGCATGGCCTGCTCTGAGTCTGCGCTGCTCCTACCGCCTCCGGCACTGCTGACCCGCTCTCTGGATGCTCTGAGGAGCCTGAAACGGCCACTAATTCCGGGGCAGCTCAGGGCCATCGGTCTCCACCCCTTAAACGCTCCCGTGCGTTGCTAAGAATTTTTCGTTAATTTTAAAAAGCAGTACTGTGGAAATTATTTATCAGTCACTTCTTTGATACACGATTTCCCCGAGTCCCCATTACTGTTAGGCATAAGTCAAGTGTAAAAAAACTGAAATCAACTTTCAAAAAAATCTTATCTTATGAAAGTTCATTTTCAAAAAAAATCTTTCATTTTAGAAGTCAGTGCCTCCTATTTTTACGCGTAAATACACAGCCTGTCACAAACACACCCATGTTTAGGTCTCATCTTCGCTGCCACGAAGGCCACAACATCATGCCCCTTCAGCGTCTTAACGCCGCGCGCAGGAAGGCCCTGAACCCAAGCGCCCACTGCTTTGCCCAGTAGGTCCACGTGGAAATCTGCATGATGCACAGGCAGCGCGCCTGCCAACAAGGCGCCTTTCACGCCGCCCTCCTGCTCCAAGGGCCACGTGTCATCTTCCGTGTGGAGAGATGCAGACAGCAGGGCTAACGCTGAAGCTCAGTTCGCGGCCTCCGCGAGCCGTGCCCGAGGCCCAGAGGCGGGCAGGTCCTCACGCCTCTCCCAGCCGCAACTGATGAACACAGACCGACGATCTAGACATTTACTTTCACCCTAAACAACTTCTAAATGCAGAGTTTGTGTTTTAACATAAAAATCTAAAAAATTCTGCCTAAGGTCTGTCGAGAGTTAACCTGAAACCACCAAGTCCGTGCCTTTCCTCTTCGGCAGGTTTAGATAAACCGATCCGAATGCTTTTCTGCTTACTGCAGGTTTGTTGCTATTAAAGTGAATTTCAAAAAGCAAGAACATCCAGTGTTAACATATTAAAGTCATTAAACATCTATTTTAAAAAACCAGTAAGTAACGTGACACTGAAAATGAAAACAGTAACCTGAGATAGCAAAGAAATAAGAAGAGCAGGAGAGGAAACAGAAGATTCTGTTGTCCCAGCAACGCCCGCCCTGGACCCGATCAGACTCAGGGAGGAAACCCAGCACCTGAACAGCACCTGGCCTCCGTCAGCCGGAAGCACCTGAGTGGGCAGAGGACAGCGACTCGCTTGTCTGCCCCAAGGAAGGGCTGTGTGGAAACAGAAAGTGACCTGCTGCCGTGTTTGAGTCAGCAGGCCGCCACGCACACGTTCAGTACTCACATGAACGCGCACAGGGCCAAGTCCAACTACAGAAGTGGGGCGGGGCTGTGTGAATGGAGAGTGTGTTGCCAAGTACCTCTCAGACTTCAGGTCCTCACAGCCCTCTGCCGACGTCAGTTCAGGTGAAGCCTGCGATCCCCAGGCAGCCCCCGGAGTCCTAGCGGAAGGCTGAAGGCCAGCAGGACCCCAGCCAGGCCAGCCGCAGGACTGACCAAAACGCCAAGGTCACAGGATCAACAAAGCAAAACGAACCCAAGAGTCCAAAAATCCTCCTATTCGTAGGAAAATCCAAGCTCTCTTCTCTTCTAAAAAGGTCCTCCTCACTCGTCTAGGCCCCTGCCTCACGCACAGCTGAAGGGGCAGGGCTCACGAGTTAACCGTCACGCAGCCCCAAGCCCTGGTGGTGGGCGGTGGGGGGTGTCACTCGGGAGCTGGGGGACCTCGGACAACCTCTCTGTGCCTCAGCGCCCACTTACAAGTGGGGGTAACGACAGCAGCGCCTCCCCGGGGCAACGGCGCGGGCCCGGGGCACAGCAGGTGCTCGGGGTCAGCTGCCTCATTGCCCAGCCTCTCCCCTTGTCCCCCATGACACTCCGGCCTCGTCCTGGTCAAGACATCTTCAAGGAAAATCGAGCCCAGAGACACACTGGCTATCACATACGTGGGTACGTGAGACTGACCACACCAAGGCCTTCCTTGTGTTGTGAAAATGGAAATACAGGAAGCCACACAGCTGTGATCCTGTCTGGACCTGGCCCTGGAGAGGCCCCAGCGATGTCAACTAAGGAGCAGCTGGCCTCGGTGACAGCCCAGCAGACATGCCGTGCCGTGTGGCCGCCGTGCCAGGCGCTGGTCTGGGCGGGCAGCCCCACGCCACCCTGCAGGGCGGGCTCCAGGTCTCCGGGTCTCTGTCTGGGCCGCCGGCCGAGCTCTCGGGGCACCGGCCCTGTCCCACTTCCCCAGGTCTTAGCAAGTGGTCCCCACTCCCCCCGTGGCAGGAAGCCTCCGACGCCCTGAGCGTCCAGAGGAGTTTCTGTGAAGGAGGAGACACAGCCACTGTTACCTTCTCTCTCATTTCAATTAATCATTTTTTTTTAACATCAAGCAACTGAATTTCTTTGTAAAAACCAGCATTCCTGTAAATACTCAGCGGACAAGCACGAAGCCCGTGGCGCGCAGGGCGCCTGGAGGGGGCGGACGCTGGCACGGCGGGACGGACAGCCCGCGGCGGGAGGCCAGGGTCCCCGTC